TTCCTTCCATTTTTATTCCCTGGATCTTGCTGTCACTGGGAAATGCTACCCTACTAGGATGATAGATTCCAATTCTCCACCTTCTGGCCACAGCATTCTATTCTTCCAGCTCCCTCACTCATTATCCCAGCCCCTGTTTTAGTCTAACTGCTGTAATAAGTAAATTAAAATATCAGTGTTTATATTAGTTAACCATTGCTATCTAGTAAAACACCCTAAAATGTATTAGGTTAAAACAGCATTCATTATGAAGTACAGATCTGTGGGTCATCTGGAGTTTGGCTGATCTAGACTGGGCTCGTGGCCGTGGCAGAAACAAATGACGGCAATCGGAAGCACGAGTGATGTCTTAAGGCCTAGGCACACTGTCACTTCCACTCACATGCTATTGGCCAAAGCAAGTCACATGGCCAAACCCAAAGTCAAGGGGCCAGGAAGTACAAGGGGCCCTGTCAAAAGTGTGGACACAGGAAGGATGGAAGCACTGGGGGCAATAATTCAATCAACCACCGTGGTTTTAACACAATATAAGATTTTTCTCCCTCATTTCACAGTCCAGTGTGGTCAGCGGGGAAACTCTGCTCTACTCCATCGTTCAGTGACCCAGCTTCCTTCTACTGTGTGTCTCCCCTGTCTCTTTTGGCTTTATCATTCTCTGCAATCATCTGACAAATACTGACAGAGAGATAAAGTATGTAGGATTATTACAGTAGGTTGACTAATGGCCCCCAAACACATCCAAGTTTTAATCTCCAGAATCTGTCAATGTTATCTTATATTGCAAAAGGGACTTTGCAGATGTAACTAAATTAAGAGTTTTGAGATGAGGAGATCATCCTGAGTTATCTGGTTGGGCTCTAAATGTAATCATCAGGGTTCTCATATAAGAGGGAAGCAAGAAGGTCAAAGGAGGAAGAAGTAAATAGGAGATGGGAGGACCAAAGATGGTAGAGAGGTGTGAGGAAGGGGTCATGAACCAAGGAACACAGTGTCCCCCAGAAGTGAAAAAGGGCAAGGACATGGATTTCCCAATAGAGTGAGTGAAAAGAATCAGCCTGTTCACAGACTGGCTAACGGCCTTTAGCAGTAAGAGAATAAATTGTGTTGTTCTAAGTAACTAAATTTGCGGTAGTTTGTTACAGAAGCAATAGGAAACTAATGCAGTTAAATAAGAGGTTTTTCACGTGCACATCATTTTCACTCACATCCCATTGAACTTAGTCATACATCTGCTCCTAGCTCCATGGTGTCTGGGGAACGTAGTCTCTCTGAGTGGCCAGGAGGAAAAGGATGGGGGCGGCGGGGGCGGGGGGGCGTGCAGTTGGTAACCATCTCGTCAGTCTCCTCCACATCCCTTCATGGAAACTTCCAAACCATGGATCTACCAGCCAAGTGGAATATCATTTAGCGCCCCAAGAGCAACACGCTCCTGCCCCATGCCAGGCCTCAACTATTACTGCAGTCTCAGTGTTGCAGTGAATCCTGTAGCAGGTGATGGTAGTTTTTACCCAAATATCTGAGAGCTTTCCATCCCAAGTTTATACAAGGTCCCCATTTAGTTAAGTGCAGGAGGGGGAAATAAATATCTTTAATAATTTAGAATTTAGTGTATGCTGCCAACAGGCCTTTAAAATGAAGATACACATGTTCTGACTTTTCTTTTTAGAAACTGCAAGGCAAAGGAAATTGTGTAAATAGCAAAGTCAGAGAAGTAACTAAAAAATGTGGTTGTAGAATATAAAAAAGTAAGTCAGTACATTTTCTGAATCAAAAAGCACAAAGAAACCCCAAGAATTCATTTGGCCCAACTCTACTTCTGAGAAGGGCCAGAATGAAATCACACCAGGCTGGCAAGTGTCGGGGATGGGAGGAGGTCAGGAGGAGGTCAGGAGGCCTGAAGTCAGGAAGGTGCCCTAGGGAGTATGATCTGTTCTGTTCCAAGATCTGAAGGTATGGAGAAGGTTGTATAGACATTTTCAAAGTTTTATCTGAGTCCCCAAAATATCTCTGCATAGCCAACACACTCAACACTAATATGTTGGGTGCCTCACACGTGGAAGACCTGCTACCTTCTGACTTTGAGGAAGAGCTAAAGGTTGAGGAAACTTCTGGGCCTCAATCATACCCCAAGGAAAGCTAAACCTCAAGACTTCTGTCTGCCTTATTGGACTGAACTGCTAGGATAGCAAGTGGCAGCCCTCTGGACAACTCATCTCAGAATCCTAAAACTGAGCACAAATGAGTATTTCTCCCTATCATCAGCATGTGCCTCAGTACATCTGATGCCCTGATTCCCTACAGACCTAAATTCTGAAGAGACGAACTCAAGATCCATGTGTCTATCCCCGCCCCTCTCTTCTCCGGCTTCTCCTTCTCTGCACAGCTCGTCAGGGCTGAGAGGAACTAGCCCTATTGTCTCCCGCTCCACACCAGCCTCATGACTAGGTATTAGGGGCAGGCAAAAATATTTTGTTTACTCTGTCAGGGGAGATCTAACTACCATGTTCTAACTACTCCACCATCCAAGTGTCCTGCAAACAAGGGCAAATGACTGCTCTGTCTTGCTCTAGGACAGTAAACCCCTAGAGTCAGGCCACAGGTAGAAAGCTAGGGAACACAATTAAGGGACATATTTGTATTCAATGTTTTAATATTTACAAAATGTTTTACTTCATTAAGTAGCAAAGCCTGGACTCAAATAAAATTCTGTCTGACTGAAGTCTTTGCACTCGAAGACATTCTTTAACTTTCCTGCTCAAGGTCAGCCTTGCCTTATAATATACTTTCCAACTTTAAAATTTAATTTTATTACAATTTAATTAAAACTTTTTGAAGATACATTAAAGATCCCTTTCTATGTTCCTGCTGTGGTAGACTTATCCCTGTTCTCAAGAAGATTTACATCCTTTGGGGCTTTTGCTGGCCCTGGTCCTCAACTTGGAACTTTTTCCCTAGTATAGTAAATGAACTTTCTTGGAATCATTTTTTAAAAATATGTTTATTTTTTGAGAGAGGAGAAGGGAGGGAGAAAAAGGGAGAGAAACATCTGTCAGTTGCTTCTAATACATGCCCTGACCTGGGGCCAAACCCACAACCCAGGCTTCTGCCCCGACCAGTGATCAAACCCACAACCTTTCCCTTTGCAGATAATGCACAACCAACTGAGCCACACCAGTCAGGGCCCTCCTTGAATCTCTTAGTTGTAACGTGACATCTGTTTCCTATTAGAACCCTGACTGATAGGATGTACTGTATTTTGCCATGTATGATATGCTCCCATGTATAATACACACCTACGTTTTTGGCCCAAACTTTCAGGGGAAAAAAAGCTTTTAATTTCTTATAAATTTTTTATATTTTGCCCATTTTATACGTATTTTATTTTTAATTATATTTTATTGATTATGCTATTACAGTTGTCCTAATTCTTCCCCCTTTACCCCCTTCCACCCAGCACCACCTACTCGCTCAGGTCGTCCCTTTACCCCTGTTCATGCACACGGGGCATGCGTTTAAGTTCTCTGGGCACTCCCTTTCCTATACTGTACTTTACATCCCCATAGCTATTCTGTAACTACCAATTTATACCTCTTAATCCCCTCACCTCTCACTCATTTTTCCACACACCCCCTCCCGTCTCTTTATCTTTAAACTTTGACATTTTAATTATGATTTGACTTGGGGTGGGCCTCTTTGAATCCATCTTGTTTGGGACTCTGTGCTTCCTGGGCTTGCACATCTATTTCCTTCACCAAATTAGGGAAGTTTTCTTTTATTATTTTTTCAAATAGATTTCCAATTTCTTTCTCTTCCTCTTCTCCTTCTGGCACCCCTATGATGCGAATGTGAATTGCTTAAAGTTGTCCCAAAGGCTTCTTACACTATCCTCATTTTTTTGGATTCTATTCTCTTCTTGTTGTTCTGATTGGTTGTTTTTTGCTTCCTTATGTTCCAAATCATTGATTTGATTTTCGGCTTCATCCAGTCTATTGTTGTTTCCCTGTAAATTATTCTTTATTTCAATTAGTGTATCCTTCATTTCTTACTGAATCTTTTTTATGCTGTTGAGGTCCTCACTAAGTTTCTTGAGCTTCCTTATAATCACTGCTTTGAACTCTGCATCTGATAGATTGTTTATCTCCATTTTGTTTAGCTCTTTTTCGGGAGTTTTGATTTGTCTTTTCATTTGGGCCATGTTTCTTTGACTTGTTGTTTTGATAGTCTCCCTGGTTTGTTTCTATGAATTTGGTAGAGCTGCTTTGACAACGTGTCTTGGTAGTGTGGCCTAATGTACTAAGTGTCTTGCAGGGTCCAGTGACACAGCCTCCACTATCACCCAAGCTGGGTACTCGAGGTGTACCTTTTGCGTGGGCTGAATACACCCTCCTCTAGTAGTTGAGGCTTGATTGCTATTGGCAGATCAACGGGAGGGACTTACCCAGCTGCAAGGATTGGCTGTGACCACAAACCACAAACCTCCACCTTCCATGGAGGACCAACTGTGCAGGGGCAGGTTGGTGGTGCTCTGATGTGGTCTGTAGCTGTCCACTGGGTGTTTTGGCCCTGGGGTGTTCCAGATGGTGCACTCCAAGGTCCCCCCCCGAACTGTGTTTTGCCTGGGGTCACCCTGCCTGAGTTATAAAGCAATCTGAGATGGCTGCTACCTGTGCTAGGCTTGGAGATTTCCAGGTGAAGCCAAGCTGTGAATATAGGCTGTTAGTTCCAGGCCTGGGATCGCTGAGGCCAACTGCTGCTTGTTTGAGGGGATTGAGGAAGTTGTGAAACAGGAGCCCTATATATAGAAAAGCAGCTTAGGTGGGCCCATAAGTTGAGTGGGACGGAGTTTCTGGGGATCTCCAAGGCAGGCCAAACAGTGTTAGCCAAGTTGATGGAATCTTAGATATGGCACCAGTCTGTAGGTTCTGTGGGGGAAAGGCCCAGAAAAGGGACAATGGCCTCAGCTCACCTTGATGCCAGACAGTTCGGCCTTCCTGCTGCACACCACTGGTGCCCCTCAAGCTGCCTTCCTGGTGCCAGAGCCAAGGAAAAGTGAATCTGAGTAGGTGAGTTTCTGTGTAGGTCCTTTAAGAACTGCTTGGGGCTCCAGAAGTTTCTTCCACTGACTCAGTACCCTCTGGTTTTTGCAGCCCATTGTGGGGACTTATCTTCCTGGCACTGGATCCCTGGGCTGGGGGGCCTGGTGTGGGGCTGGAACTTCTTGCTCCTGAGATATTCCTCCTGAATTTTTATGCACCACACGTGGGTGTGGGACCAGCCAGTTCAGTGTCTGGGCCCCTTCTACTACTCTGGATGGATACAGTTCCTTTAATTCCGTAATTGTCAGACTTCCCATTCAACTTGATTTCTGACGGTTCTGACTGGTGGTGGTTCTATATTTTAGCTGTAATTTTGATGTGGTTGTGTGAAGAGGCAAGCCATGTCCGCCTATGCCACCATCCTGAACAGAAGTCTTGTTTTAATTTTTTAATTCAATTCAATTATTTATTTATTTATATTTGGAAACAAAACCGATTCTCATATTCTTACCGATTCTTACCATATTCAAAACTGATTCCTACTCTAAGGGTGAAAGGGTAAGGGATTTCTCTAAGGCCTTTTTTAAAAGGCCACTATAGGAGGCACTAAGCACATCCCAAAGAACCCGCCTCCTAAAACCATATTCCAGGGTTTATTTTGTATACAGATATCATTATTGCTTTCTAGAGTTACATTTTTAACTCATAAGCATAAATAAAAGAACAAACTATTTATAGAGATATGGAATTAGTACTACCCATGTATAATGCACACCCTTATTTTTCCCTCAAAAATTTGGGCAAAAAAGTGCACATTATACATGGCAAAATACAGTGTGTTACTCAGCTGCTTGACCTCCGGTGGCGGATGGCTAGCTGAGTCATGTGCCCTTTCGTGATGCAATTGTTGCTGCCCGACCCAGGAATTACTGTCATTTCCCAGGGCTCCTACGGTCAAGACAGGCCACGGGACTGCATGTGGGCAGAGATCTTCCTGCCAACACGTCTGGACCACAAAAACTTCGCAACTCAGTTTTGGTGCTCTCCCTGTCCTCTTCCAGTGGCATTGTTGAGGCTCTATAGCAGGCAATCTTAATAATTCTATGCTATGGATGCCTGAATCCCTTCTCAGAATATTTTTTAAATAAACTTTTTATTTAAATGAGTTTAAATTGATGGAATGAATTTAGAGAAGTTCTTAGTCCATTTGGGCTGCTATAACAAAATATCACAGGCTGGGTAGTTTATAAACAACAAATTTATGTCTCACAATTCTGGAGTTTGGGAAGTCTAAGATCTAGGTATTGGCAGATTGAGTGTTTAGTGAGGGCCCACTTCCTCATAGACAGCTGTCTTCTTACTCTAAGGGTGAAAGGGTGAGGGATTTCTCTAAGGCCTTTTTTAAAAGGACACTATAGGAGGCATTAAGCACATCCCAAAGAACCCGCCTCCTAAAACCATTACTTTACAGGTTAGGATTTCAACATATGACTGTTGGGAGGATGCAAACATTCAGTCCATTGCAATAGTAGAAAGAGTTTTTATATACTCCCTATTCTGTTTCCGTTTCCTCTAGTGTTATCATCTTACATTACTGTGGCACATTTGCTGGAACCAAAATTGGTATGTTATTTTTAACTAAACTCCAGACTTTATTCAGACTTCATCGATTTTTCCATTAACCACCCTTTTCTATTCCAGGTTCTAATCCAGCATACCGCATTATATCTGTTTGTCATGTCTACCCAGTCTCCTTTGGTCCCTGACAGTGTTTCAGTCTTTCCTTTTATTTTGTTATGACTTTAACAGGTACTGGTCAGATATTATGTAGAATTCCAGAATAATGTTTTAAATGTATAAAATAGGATTATAAAGAAAACAAATCATATTGAAGTATAGGTATTAGAATTTTTAAAATGGTGATACAAAAAATATATATGCTTTTTTATTAACACATTAAATAACTAGATCTCGTGCTGGGTCTAGTAATTCTCTTAATTTTGAAATAGTGATGAGTATAAATACTATTTGAAGATTCTGTAACTATAACATAAAAATGTCTGCGATTTCTCTTGGTGGTAAAGTCCTGGGCGCTGCTGCGGTTTGTTGCCTAAGTAAAGCCTAGAGAAAATAAAGATGTAAATTTTTTTCCCATCCAAGTTAGCCTCTCTGACTGCCCTAAAAGGGATGGCAGAACCATAAGATGGGAAGAACCTGGCCCTGGTCCTGCGCTACCTCCTGAACATCTGCATATAGCAGTGACTCCACTCTCAAACCATCCCCCATTGTCAAATAATGTACTATAATGAGAGCAGTTTCAAACTGTTTCTCTACTGAATGCAATGTCTAACCACTGCTAAATTGGAGAACTTTGTATTTCTGGACACCCTTGGCCCCAGATAGGGCTGAGCAACAGGACAAAGGAGACAGAAGGGGGTGCCCAGGGACTTTGGGTGAGCCTCCATGGGAGATTTCTAAGGCCTTTGCCCTGGGAGTTAGATAGAAGGGTTCCCTGATTCTATATGTTTCCTCTCTTGGGACTCCAATGGCAGAGGTTGAAGTCACTTCATAGACTTCCTGGGGCTTAACCCCAATTAGTCTTTGCAGGGAAAATCATTCTCACCCAGGTACTCATAGATCTTAAACAAAAGAAAAAGTTACTCCAAGGAAGATTAAAGCAGTAGAATGAAGCAGGTTTTCCAAACAAGGCTTGGGGTTTGTAAACGTTACTCATTCTCCTTTATGCGAACATGTAGATATCTTTTCAGAGAAGAATGCAGTGACCTTTCGGAATATCTTTCTTAAAAACTCTCTGGGTAAGATCCTAAGCGATGAGCTCTCTCACCCCAGAGCACATCCGCACCTTTCCCTTCCCCCTCCTCCTGCCCCCAGGCTTACTACCTTTACCTTTGTCTCTCCTAAACTCTGAGTCCTTCTTTTGCCTCTGTACTTGATTCCTGGGCCCATTTCTTCTACCACTCACTTCTATCTCTGTGCCTTTCAAAATAAACTTTTACAAAAAAGGCACTTCATTCCTTTTTCTTTAAATTGAGATATAATTGACATACCATAAAACTCATCCTTTTAAAGTGTACAATTCAGTAGTTTTTAGTATATTCACCATTTGCAAGCATCATCACTATCTAATTCCAGAACATTTTCTCTCACTCTAAAAAGAAACCATATAGTTGTTAGGTAGCCATAGTTCCTAAGAAAAGACGAGGAGCCAGAAAGGTCCACTTAAGGGCTTTTATTCGAGGCGGGACACTGCGATCAGGTGGGCTGAGTCCCAGTGGACAGGACAGAAAATCCAGGAGGTTTATGGGCCTTGTTTCTGGGAAAAGCTCAAGGGAGAGGGGAGGGGCAGTGAGGATTCAACCGGTTTCTAGCAGGATGCCAGCAGCTATGCCTCAGTTGCTCCTGATAACGGCCAAGGTCAGGTATTTACCCTGTGACAGAGACAGAGACGCATACCTTCTTTGTTCTTTGTTCCAGCATAGGTGGTGGCTTAGGTCCTCCATGTTCCAGTACATTCTAACAATAGCCACTAACAGTCCCCACTTCCCTCCCTCCTTCCCGCCACCCCCTCCCCCCGCCCCAACCCTGGTAATCACTATCTACTTTTAAAGACGTATGTGTGTGAATGGAGAATTTTCCATTTATTTTCTGATCTTTCTTCTTAACACACACATCAATTAATATGTTATTTCAATAAATGGTGTAAAGAAAACAGGACAGCCACATGCAAAAGAATGAAACCGGACCACCATCTTATACTACACAAAAATAACTGAAGATGGATGAAAGACTTGACATAAGACATGAAACCATAAAATTCCTAGAAGAAAATATAGGCGGTATGCTCCTTGACATCATTCTTGGCCATTTTTTTTGGATCTGACACCAAAAGCATGGGCAACAAAAGCAAAAATAAATAAATGTGGCTACATCAATCTAAAATCCTTCTGCACCACAAAGTTGAAGCAGGAGATAGTCAAGAAGGAGGAAACTCCAGAGGTGCCTCAGGAGATAAAGAATATGGATAAAGGGTGGAGACCCTGTTCTAAGTCTGGTAGCTTCTGCATCTGGAGAAGCATTGAATCCTAGTTAATCAGGACTGCACCTGCATAGAAGATGCTACCTGACCCCTACTTCATTATAATGAATTAGCATTGTGGGATCCTCTTCCCAGTAGCCAATCAAGGAAAAGGAGACCCTCCCTAAGGAATAAAAGTCCTCTCGCTCCTTAGTTTGGCCTTCTTTGCCCTGCCCCTGCTGCTGCTTGCTGCTGCTGCAGTTAGGCTCTTCTTTCTTCTCTGCTCCACTCTGCTCAGAGTTGGCCTGTTCCCATGTTCTGTGTGGCTTAATAAATCTGCTTTTTCTCGCTTTCTGCTATAAACTCTGTGTGTTCGGTTCAATTTTTTGTCCTCGATCTCCAAGAACCTGGTTACCTGTGCCCACCTGTGACAAAAGGAAATGATCAACAATGAAAAAGCAACCTACTGAAAGGGAGAAAACATTTACAAATCATGTATCTGTTAAGGGGTTAATGTCCCAAATATATAAATAGTTCACACAACTTAATAAAAAAAAGCCCCAAATAATTCAATTTAAAAAATGAGCAACAGATCTGAATAGATATTTCCCCAAAGAAAACATACAGAGGACTAACAGGAACAGAAAAGATATTCAACATAACTAATCATCAGGGAAATGCAAAGCAAAATCATGATGAAATATAATCTTACACCTGTTGGAATAGTTTTTTTTTTTAAATGTTGGCAAGGATGTACAGAAAAGGGAACAGTTGGGCACCGTTGGTGGGAATGTAAAGTGGTGCAACCGCTATGGAACACAGTGTGGAGATTCCAGAACTACCATTTGATCAAGCAATTCCGCATCTGTGCACTGTTAGTAAAAGGAGTATCCAAAACTGATTAGAAGTTGCTATGTTTTTGTTTTTGGAGTTAATCACTTTTTCTGGAGACATCTCGAGTCATCAGCATTCTTTGCACACCAGTACTGTA